TTGCTGCTACCATCTATACTTTGGTGGCCAGAAATCCGAATCCATCGAAAAAAAGGTATGTTTATTCAGAGCATATTTGAGTTCATCCCCTCGTGTCATTAGGATTGAGTCTTGGAACGTGAAGATCCGATCATTAGATAAAAAGTTATTCAGGATTATTTTGCGCACTGAACTTTGTAAAAACTGTGGTGTACTATTTATCCGAATAAGATGTTGAACAATCCACAAAATTGGGTTGAGGAACACTTTATTCCGGGTTAATGCCAAATCGAGAGTTTCAAAGGATGCCATTTGAATCTAAACACTTAAAGTTAAATAATCTTAAACTAAACTCTCAGCTTTCTGTACCATACAACACTTATTTCAGAAAACACCAATGTTGGAGGGCTTTGAATTTCAAGAAATGCCGAGTACTAGTTTGTTTACAATCTGAAATGAGCCGGAGAGAGTTTATTGTCATTTTCAAAGACTGGCATTCATCAACAGAAACAAAAATTCGCCATTAACCATGTTTTTAGTTGTGTCATGAGGATCATTAAATTTTTTAACGTCTGAGAACTGATTTTATAATGTGTAGTTTCTATCCGTTCTATTAAGCCTAGATCGAATCATAGGTTCAATTTTTGAGGGTGGAATTACAAAATTATTTTTTTTTTTCACAAGGAGAGGAAATAGGAAGATTAAAGCCAATGGTTTTGCAACATGTAGCAGATAAGGTCGGTGGTTTGGATGCATTTCTTACAATTAACAGTAAAATATAATGAAGTATAATCTCTCTTTTACACCTTTCTTTTATAATACTATGATGCCTTTTCTCTACAATATTGGTGCAGCTGTTGTGATTTTTGGGACTATGCTTAAGCTATTAAATCTCCCCAATAGTTCACTAAATTTAGAGCACGAAAAAAAATTTATTATTCTTGCAAAAAGATTTCATTTATTTATTTATTTTAACTTTAATGAATCGATGATAATGTATGAAAATTTTCTTTATTTGCCATAATTATGGAGAGGATCTTTCGTAGATTTCGAATTATTAAGGGAGATATAGTATACCTACGGTCCCCCTCACCAACCATGCCTATGGTTCGAATTCTTCTTAAGATCCTGTTTAGAGCCGGGGTGACTCAGGAGATAGAGTACTCGCCTTTCAATAAAGTAACCTGGGTTCGAATCCCAACGATGATTGGTTGATTAGAGTTACGCCTCCAGCTCGCACTAGCACCAGTGCTTACGTAAAAATATCCTCGGTGGTTTATCGATAATGGGTCAAAGTCCCCTTACTGTCATGCTAACCGTGGGAGGTTTCTGTGGTTTTCCTCACCATGTAAAGCAAATACGGGTTTGTTCCATCAAAAAGTCCTCCACAAAGGCAAACTTCACCCAATACTTGTTCCAATAGTTTCCCTTGTCTTCTGTATTGGATTCAAAATGACAAGGCTATGGAATTGAACATTTGTTGTCGTAAGTTCAAAAAACTGGGTCCGTTGTTCAACGACGGCTATAAAGTAAAATCTTTACGCGAATCAATCAGAAAGAAACTATTTCCGTAAATTTAATGACACTTAATATGTTTTTGAGATTGATTTTCCTTATTCCAAGGAAGAAAAAAGTAATGAAAAACGCTTAAAGTGATGGGCCTTCTGGTTAGTCAAGAAGTGATCTAATAATTATTAGTTAGTTATGTGCTAAAGTTTCAACCAAAACATTTCTAATAACTAAAAATAGGTTAATGATCCCAAAAGTCATAAAAAGCAGCACATATAAAAGTCACACTTGAGCACGTGATACAACGTTTCATTAACATATTATAAGCTTTTAATAACGATATTGTGTGTGCAACATTACAAAAATTTAATATTCCATTTCTTAATAAACAATTGCTTTGAATTACGCATGGTATATTTATTTATTTTTGAGGATGGTACGATTTAAGGAGCAGGTGATACTATTTACTCAACTGGTTTCCTAAATCGTACCACTTACAGATCTTGGGAAAACAATTCAGTTTTAGTACTTATTGCGGGGATAAAAATTTAAAAGTAAGAAGTGGAACAATTTAAGCAACTCTACTCTTATTTTACTTGGCGTCGATCTACTATAACTGCATGATCAGAAGTTATGTATGACTCCAACCGCTTGAAATGTGGCAACTAATTTGGGACAAAATTTTCGACCTAAATGTAGAGATTAATTTAGGACGAACGAAGTATAAGATTTGAGGTTTTTAGTGTCATTTAAAACTACACATTCGTCAGTTTCTTTTCTTTCTTTTTCTTGCAATTTAATTTTATTACATTTTGAACTGCTGAAAAGTGATTCGGGTGATATTAAAAAAAAATCATCATGACGCTAATTGCACACGATACTTATTAAAATACTTATCTAATAAGACTTAAAAGAAAGACAACTGAACCACCCTTCAAGAACTCCTGATTGCAAAAATGTATTGGTATAGTTCGTTCAGAAAAAAAATAGAGAATTCAAAATACCACACGCTTTATATCTATAATTGTGATGGTCTTACAAATTCTCATGTAGGGTTAGCCTGGGTTAAATAGTCATTGAGAGGAGATGTACAATGCACTAGATAAGAAATGGACCACAATTAATAACTTTTGATCGAATGATCGGTTCTTCACGTTTTAGGACTGAAAATTAATAATATAAATGAATGATTATTTTATATTGTATTGTAAAAATAACTTTACTGATTCATATGTGCAAATTGTAATAATAAATTTTAATACTATTGAACAGGTGGAGGATTCTACATAGGATAAAAATACATTAGTGTTGCGATTTGAAAGTTATGTATGGCGGCGTTTCTCTACTTTGGTGTAAAGTAGCTTCCACCATTTTGGGCGTGAAAATACAATAAATTTTTTACAGTGTATGAACAAAATTCACAAACATTAAGGTTTGCCAATGAATACTTAAGCTGAAAGTCGTGCTGAAATGTGTAGAAGGTAGGTTGAAAAACACATTAACTAGTTTGACTACTTGATGAAACTTGAAGTTTCTAATAATTCAATTGCTTACCAACTCCTTACAATTTTCCCCTAACATATTTTGATGTTTTTACTTTCTCGTGTGTATTCATTAGAAAACTTTCGTGTGTGTATTTATTGTTCACATATTATACAGATGAAAAAACAAAACAAGACACATTTATAACGAGCATTATTTTTATTACACTATAAATACATCGAGAATAGTCCATCGATTTCAAATAATTTCTTTTTAAATATCACATAAAACTCTAGCGATTTTCTCAATAACATGATAGACGCATTCAATGCGTCTTTTATGTTTCTATATACAAATATATACTCATTTTCTTCGCATTTTAATAAAATGCACAGAAGTGATTTATTCATGCAGAATTTACAATTTTCAAGTCGTAGGCAAGATGATTTTGAATCTTGAAATAAGTGAATTATTTTCATGACTCTAATGAGTTTCAACAAAATTTAATTGGATATTTTGAATAATTTCGGAGAAGGAAATATCATCACTTTTAAAGTTAAAAAAGACTTGAATAATGAAATCTAAGAATTCTGAAGAATTTCAGAGTAATTAAACACTTCAAAGCAAATCCATGACAAAAAATCGAAGATGCATGAATTGAAAACATTTACTCGGCTAAATTTAGATAATATGCGTATAAGCCTTATAAATTTAAAATAAAAAAATTTATAAAATATAATTTTTTAAGTATTATAATTAAGTCGATAAAATTACGCTATAAAAAATATGAAAATTAGTTAAATTGTATAGAAAAAAAAATCTTTACAAGTAGTTTCAGAATAATTTTTACCAACTAAAAACATAAATACTTTTCTGACATTCAATGATAATCTTAATGGATTATAACTAAGAGTCGGGATCTCATGAAAATTCGGATCTGGAGTCAAACAGCAGATTTGCTTAGATGTAAAAAAAATTTGAATGACAAGTTGAGAAAAAATTGAAAAAGTTTAAAATAAAATTAAATAAAATAAATACTTTTAAAATAGGAAAAAAATTAAATTAAATTTTAAAAATTTCCAAAAGGTTTTAGACAAATCAAATTCTCAATTTTAAAATTAGAAAATGTGATTTTCGATTAATATTTTTACGTTAAATGTAAATATTATTTGGTATCATATGCAAACAAATGACCCATTATTATGATTTCTAAAATGAAAAATGGATATTGAAGGGTGAAATTATCAATTGCAGCAACCTTTGCGATATTCTCAATAAGGAATCTCAATATATTCTCAATTGTTTCCACTATAGACAGGAAAAAAACCTATTGTGGTGTCTCACCCATAGATCTGTGTCCTCTATTGTTGCCTCTCTGTTCTCCTCTTTAAGGAGGAGAAGATAGCTTCTTGATTAGGAGCCACTTACCTCTATAGATTACAAAGCAAATTTTTTTTTTTAAAAAGAACTGTTTATTCCAATAATTTGCCTTTATAAACAGAAGATAATGTATCTCGATTGAGAGACCAGAATTGAAAGCTTATAAAGCGAAACCTCTCTGGAACGACCACTCTCTGTTCCACAGTAAAATGGTCGTTCTTAAGGCTTATCTCCACTGACTTCAAAATGCTATCGAAGGTGCATGATTATTTTGCAAGCGATTTAACTGGCGTCGTGAAGCGTTGGCGTCGCGAAAACCGGATCGATAAATAGAATTTATCTTTCATAAAAATGATATAAGTATGTGTAAAAATAAATTTACCATCTATGAATGATGGAACTATTTAAAATAAATAATTGTAAATAATTGTTTAAGCTTGCATTTAATTTTATATCATAAAAATTAGTTAGCTTTAAAAAATAAGAGGAGGTTTGTTTGTTGTTAACTCATTGATGCACTCTTAACTGCAACACACGAAGTCTCTTTCGGTGATCGTCAGAAAGAACTCTCTCCAAATAAGAGACACTCACAAATATTTTGAATACATTTAAATCTACTCGTTTGTTTTGTTAATAATTTTTGTTTACAATTTTCGGTGTTTCCTTATTTGACCATTTCGGTAATCTGGTGTGGATTTTCCGGGTCGCTGGGGGAAGTTTCGAGGGTCTCTTCTAAGGGTTTACTTCAAGATAAAGCCTAAGAAAAAAAAATTCCATGCCTCCCAAAAGTGGTGGTCATTAGAGGAGGTCAATACACAGAGGTGGTCTTTCCTGGAGGTTTCACTGTATATATAAAAAGATGGAAAGGAAGAAAAACTGATAAGAAGATCATTTCATAATAGCTTGTTTTCAGGAAGATTAAAGACAGATATTTATTTTAACTGTTATGCCACTCATATAGATTGCTTTTGGTTTTTCTCTTCATAAGAGAAAAAGTAAAAAGAGATGAATAATTGTGAATGAAGAACTGTAAAAGCTTATTTTACTCTTCCCGAAATGCAGCTATAAATGAAATGTTTTTTTCTTCTTCCCTTTCCTTAGAGTCCCGTTCAGAAACTCATTTCGAAATTATAATTTGTGCTCAAAATAAAATGACTAGGATGGAAGAAAGTGTTCTGAGAATGAGAGAGATCAGCTACTGGGCTGTCGCAGTGATAGTTCATTCGACATGCAGATGTCTTTAAACATTTTCTCCAGCCTCACCAGTCCGACTGTTTTGCTGAAGAAGAGTTTGTGGATTTGATCGCTGGTGATGGTGCGGAGGCAGGCCGGTATTTGGTGCATCCGAACCACCCTCAGTTGCTGGTTGGGATAGTAGAGCTCTAAATGTCGCATCAGGATCACCTGCACGTGATCGTGAACCGCTGCTACAGTGCTTCCTTCTTTGAGGTCTTTAATGGAAGGGGGAGCTCCTGGAAAATCTAGAATTAAAAGAAAAAGAAATATCGTCAAGTTTTGTAACGATAACCTGCACTGTTAAAAATTGCGAACCACGTTGCACCCATCATTGATCTGCCATTTTGTGGACAGGATCATTTAATCGACATAGTCATTTCGTTGACAGGTCAATTCGTCGACAGGGTCGTTTCGTCAACAAGTGATTCTGTCGACAGGGTCATTTTGTCGACAAGATCGTTATATTATCTGCATTTCATCGTAATTTAATATATTTTTACGTGACTAAATTTTTTAAACTTTGTCTAAATTGGTATTCATTTGCTGGCTACATAAAATGGAGCTCAATTTTACCACATTTTGGTATTGTCACAATCTCTGAATGTTAATAGAAGGTTGCACCAAAATAGGAGTTTTTAAGAAACATTTTTTTTTCATTTACAAATTTTAAATTATTATTTTTTTTTCTTTTATTAAAGCAGAGGAAGGTTGCCCCATTATTAGGTATTTCTAAAGTGCCCAAATACAGGCCAAGGTTGCTATTTACCGAAGGTTATTTTATGACATACCTCTAACCACTTTATACGGCCAACAAAATTAAAAAAAAGGCAACATAAATGAACATTAATTACTGAAATTAAAACATTCACGAATCTAGAAACTTGAAGCAACATGCATGAATCGTCTCGATGCAACGAGACCGAGTTCTTAAGAAAACATGGCTAAAACTCCTAAACAAATATCATTCAATTTACAGTCACCGTAAAAGTTTTAAGTCTTCAACCAAATTTTGGTGTAGTCAGTTGCACCATGGAAGTATTTCTCGATCATATTTCACAATTTATGGTGTAATTAAAGTAAAATAATCTTTCAATTAAATAAACTTTGGGACAATGAGAAAGTTTGCACCAAATATTAGTTAAAGATTTTCCGTCCCACCTTCCAATGTGTTATTCCAAATAAAAACGAAGAGGATATACCGGATTATACGGATAGAATCAGCTGTTTTGAAAGATTGTGGTTTTTTCTCATTATACCCAATTATCCTCATGCAAAGTTTCTGTTAATTGTTTTAACGGAGTTATTAACATCTTTCCGTTTTATCGGACACATAAACTGATTTAAGTAACTTACACTGAATTGTGATTTTCGCCAATGCTTTTATTTTATTTTCATATACGTAAGCATTCATTTCGAGCTTTAATTTGTAGGTTTTGCTAACCTCGTTTTTGATAAGAATTCCAAAAATAAATATTTGACAGAGATTATACTTTCCATTTATTTGTTACTTTTTTTTAATGTCTGCAAGGTGTTTTAAGTAAAAAAGTAAATATATCAGAGGTGGTCAATTAATATTTAGGTGAGGGAAAATAAAATCACCACCAAGCTTGTGAAAAGTTTAGTACCGAAAAGATCAAAACATGCTTTATTACAGAAGGAGATAAAGAATATTATTATAAAGATATACGGTAGAGAATATTCACAGAGTTTCGTCTGGCAATAAACTGATTTTAATACTTAGGGATGCGATTGATTTCAATAACATGTTTTGATTCTTTCTCGCTGGCATAATTATTTTGAGATTCTTAATGTGAAATTTTTTTTATCTCATTGTTTACAAAGATTCTAAAGATAGGCAATTCAGGGTGATCATTTCAACACGACCTGTATCTATTAAGAGCGATCCATTGGGAACACCATCTCTAATGTATAAAAAAAAATAAAAAACGATTGTTGAGGTTGTTTTTCGAAGTTCTCTTTCAACACATGAAGCAGTGCTTTTTAGTGAATAATATGCTTTTTTTTATAACCGTTATGAGTTTGCAATACTTATTCATACACGTTAGGTTTAAATTTTCCAGCGCCCTCTATGCTCATTATGAAAATGGCGCAAGGTATCACTTTGAAGAAAAGCCCTTGTTGCGTGAAATTTAAGACCGTTTTGAAAATTTTCATTGGCGATTTTTTAAAAAAAAGTGACTTTTAAAATATTTAAGTTTTATGTCCGTCCTAAAGCTAAAATAATTCTTTACGGTTAGAGAGCATATTTAAAAGTATAGCTTTGCCTCAAATGTAAAGCACTGAAACTTTAGCTAATATATTTTTCTCGACAGAAAAAAGATTCCAAAAAGACAATATTTGACAAAATATTACGCCAAAGTAGCGATTTTTAGTTGAAATGCACTTATATTTTTAATTAGCAATTTTTTTTCCTTTTAAAAACACCAGACCATTCTTTAGGGAGGTATAATAGCGAGTAAGGCAAAAAGTAGTTACCTTTCTTGAAAAGCGTGATGAGCCTCAGGTAATGATACTCATAAGCATCCAGATTGAGCTCTTTAATCTGAGACATGATTCTCTGAAAGGCGATCATCGAAGCCTTGATTGCACTCTCTCGATCAGGAGTCATCTCACAATCCTCACTCAGACCTAGACACAAATGAAGGAGACATTTGTTTAGGCGATCCAATGAAAAAAAATAGAGTTTCCTAAACATTTTACTTATTCATAGGATTTGAATGCTGGAAGACAGTCCTCAAAAGGTGATACACATACAGACCTGACAACCATTTAGCTCAATTTAATTCGCGGTAAAAGAGTCCATTTATAATTCTTTTTAGTTACAAGTATGATCAAAATTGATTTGGAAAAAAAATTATAAATGCTCTAAAATTAATTTTTCTAACCAAAAAGGGCAAATTTTGGACATTCTTGATACTAATTAAACCGGCGCAACCTCCCCAAGAAATATTTTTTTTAAAAACAGATTCTGATTGTTTCAAAATAAAAATAAATATAAGATGAAATAGAATTTCAATTGGAGAATTACTTAATAGTACACTGTAAAAAATTTCGAGCTATGCGGCACCAAATATTGGTATTCATTTGCTGGCTACATAAAGTTGTGCTCAGTTTTGTTTGTGCTCAGTGGTGCTTTCACTAGTTCCAAACAACGAGAGAAGGTTGCACCAAAAATCGGAATTTTGAAAGAGCCTAAAAGCGGCGAAAGGTTGCACCAAAAATAAGTGTTTTGAAGGGAACTAAAAAGCGAGGAAGGTTGCACCATTATTAAATATTTTTAAAGCGGCGAAAAGCAGATAAAGTTAGCATCATTAATAAATATTTATTGAAAAAAGAGGATATNGTACGAAAGTTTGGTGCAATCGATTGCGCCATAAACGCATTTCTTGATCATATTTTCCAATTTATGGTGCAACCTAGATAAAATAATTTTTGATTTATCCTATTTATGGTGCAATTAGCAAACTTTGCACCAAGTATTGGATAAACATTAACCGAGATTTTTTACAGTGTATCGTTAACAATATACAACTAGATAAGTTATATTTTATTGTTTTTTTGTTTTGTTTTAGTGGTCCGGGAAATGTGTATATTTTGATAATGTTTCCGTATGTGTAGCTTTAAAAATGAAACACCCTCTTTATGCATATCAGCAAATAAGTTCTTCGCTGGAAAGAAGATGTTTTGGCGAGTGATAAAAATGTGTGATTATGGAATTTTCTTTTTCCTGCTCCTTACCTGTTGCACAGCGTAAGAATTCTTCATCGACTGGCAGATTGCATTGGGCTGCTGAAAGAACAAACAATTCACTCGATGCTTCTTCCAGAAGAATTTCCTAAACATAAATTAATAATATGTATAAATCAGAAGGAAAAAAAAACTACTCACACTTTAAGTAGACTACATGTTTCATACGTTAGAAATGCTTTTACTATTCTTTTAATAAGTTTTCGCGTCTGTGAGAGTGATTGAAATTTCGAATTGAATTGAAATTTCGAATGCTTTCCGACTAGCTATAGTACTCACATTTCGACTACCGCTCCATGTGCTTTATCTTCTACCTGTAGAGCTTGGTGACACTACAAGTTTTCGTTCCACATGTTACAAGCATAATTCATCGTTCATGTATCGCCCATCCAAATGTTGATCACTTTCCGACTAGTTACAGAATTCTAAACTTAACGTGTGCTTCTTGTTATACAAAATTTTTATCGTTTTCTTTACACTTCATAATGCATTGTCATTTTTTAGGGTTTAATAGAGCGCTCATCAAAAGTTCTACCGCTTTCCGATTCGCTGGAATATTACATTTAGATTGGAACTCAGCTGACAATGCCAGTTTCGTAAATGGGAAAGCAAAATCTATCGCCTTTTTAAAGCCAATCAGAATTTTAACCTTATTTTAGACGTAAACAAACTAAATGGAACTTAGGCGCGTTAGTTTCTCTATAAACGTCTCACCACCGAAAATTACTCTAACTTTTTTTAAAAAAAAGAATGATGTATACTTAGCGTTTTCGGTCCTATAATAATAAAATTATTATTATTTAGAACGTAGTTCTAATTTTGAGTGTTTAATTAATTTTATTTCCTTCTTTTCTTAAAGTTAAAAAAACTTGCAGATATGCTAAATACATGCAACATGCCGCGAAAAATATTATTATTATATTATCGACATGAAAAACTAAATTTTAAAATTTTTTATTATTTTCTGTAATTCTTTTTAATTTGTACTTTATGAAACTAAAAATATAAAATTATGAATTCAAAAAAAAGAAAGAATAACAAATCACATAATTGTTTTTTTTAATATTCAGTCTTCCTTTAATGAAAAAGCAAAACTTTTTTCTCTGTTATAAAGGCCACACCTACCTGATCTCTTATTGGTAGAGTCATGAACTCGGGTACGCCTCTTACTAAGCTCCGATTCCAGATCAGAACTTGGGCGGCTAATTCAGCTGCATCAGCTTCCGCTTTAGGTGAAACGTTATTTCTCCCCGCAAAAGCAGTGGCGTAAGTAGCGTAGGAGTGATACTAAAAATTAAAAAAAAGAACTTTTTAAATAAGAATTTATTAATATGACGATTTAAATACTGTTTTATCTATTAAAATATGTAATAAGAAAATGATCGTTTAGTGTTTTCCAATTATCGTTTGAGGAACAATCATTTCTAATATAGGGTCGGACCATTTATGCAATAAATCCTCTGTAAACGATGCTTCACTCTATCCAAAATCTTTGAAAAAGAATTTTTTGTTAACATTTTGTTGTAGTACTGTTTAAAGTATTCATTGTAATAGTACATAATTCGCTTCATAAAATATTAATTAATTAAATATTTAGAGTTATTATTGTAAAAGAACTTACCTTACCGTTCATTTCTTTCATTTCTTCTATTACGAAATTATTTTTTTTTATCGGAACGGTAAAAAACATTCAAAATATTCTCAAGCGAAGTGGATAACGAATTTTTTAGACATTCATTTTGAAAAATGTTTCTCATTTTCAGAATTTTTTAAGGTGTTTATCTTTTTCTGTTTTCGTCCTTTTTCAAGAGAGTTGCGATCAGAAGTTTCTGTGTAGCCATTTCGCTCTCTTCTTTTTGGTATTACATTTATGTGACTTTATAATGACTTCATTTTCAATTAAAAGTTATCTTTTGAACTAATGACATCGACTAAAAATTTCTTTACATTTTTCTGTACATATTCAATAGTTGTTCAATACAAGTGCATGAAATAACATTAGTAAAATAACTGTTCAGACACTTAAAATGTTCACAACAAACGTGTGCTCACTATATACCGTGTTCATGACAGACTGAAATTAATTATTTTTAACTAAACATTAATGAAATTAAAGAAGAAAAATTTTTAAAAATTCCGATTTTTTTCCTTATTTAGTACGTAGAATAGTATAAAGCATTCAGTTTTTTTTTTCTTTCAACGTAATCAAGCCATGTATGGGGAAAAATTCAGTAGATTTCTCTTATGAATGCATGCTAATGCGTAAAATCTAACTTATTATTATTATTATATTTTTTTTCTTTCTTTTTTTTTAAGCTTAGGGAATTTTAAGGATTTTAACTGTCCATGAAACGCAAAAACGACAAGGCTCTATAATTACAGCAAAATATAATTAAACTCAATATTATCTATGCATCGATGAGTTCCTTAATGATTTTTTTTTAATGAGGGCATTGAATAAAAAAGAAACTTTATGAACATTTAAAGAAAGAAAATCTTCAGGTTGAATATCATAACTACGGTTTTCTTTGGGATTTAATATTCATTTTTTATTGAAATACTAACGCCAGCAATAAAATTAATAAAGAAATACTTTTAATAAGGCTTTTTTTTTCTTTTTCTTTCTTTATGCTTATTTTCCATACCACATGTTTCTTTAACTTCAACCGTGTTTACACAATGTCTCGCATTCAAATGTTATTTTTATTTTTTAAAAAAAAACTATTCATTAAGAGGAGGGTCATACCGCGAGAGAAAAGGACGAATTCTGTTTCACAGCAACTGGTATATTAATATTTATAGAAAAGAGAGGTCAATTGAATCTAGAAATGCTGAAAATATGTTTTCAAAATATCAAAATGCAAACAAAGGACGACAGGATTACTTCTTCGTTGCCTAATAATCCTCTCTTAATTTATTTGCATTTTGATATTTTGAAGGAAAAAAAAATTTCAGCATTTGAAACTTTATGGTCTGCATAAACTTTCTATACTTTAAATTACTTATGGAGTAGTCGTGAACTCAAACAAATGGGTCGGTTGTCCGACGACGATTATAAATAAAAATAATAATAGCCATTCTTACTTGGGGCAGTGGTTGAAGAATGGGTGCTGTTGTAGAGCCCATTCTCATGAGCCTCATGTGGGTCAATGGAAGATTCGGGGAGGACAGTGGACTGGCAATGAAGGAGGGATCTCGAAGGGGACGATTGGCAAAAAATCCACTCCCATCAGTAGGCAATGAAAATCCTCCAGGTGATGCCTGATGATGAAACAAGGAGGGAGAGATCGATCCCTGATTCCAGGAATCTCGAATTATCATCGCAGCATGTCGCTGTCTTGTGGAGTTGCGAGGACCTCTCTCGTGTTGGACAGCTGAAAATAAAAGAAGATTTGTGACGTGAACAGAGAATCGCATCAAAAACTGTAAATTCTTCAAACATTTCAAAATAAACACAGTCACACATCGAAAAAATTTATTGGAAACACAGTCTCTCTTCAAACATTTCAAAATAAACACATCAAACACAGTCACACATCAAAAATTGTGTGGATGACTATTTGACTCTACTGGTTTCAGTTTATAATTAAAAGAGCTGTATGAAACTGGCTCCACAAAATTGAATCATTAAATAATTATAATTTACAAAATTTTAACTCATTTGAACTATTGGAGGAAATAAAAAACGTAAGTAACTTCACACTCTATATTATATGATAGTAAGTAACAAATTTTCATCAGATAAAAACGTTTTCTAAAAAACTTACGTAAGCGTGGGAAAAGGTTCTGCTTAGTTTTGGGGATAAAGGAAAAGAGATTGTTTAATATATGCTTAGATAATATTTGAATTGAACGGTCCTTGCACTATTAAAAATTTCAGAGGGTGCATTATTACATTCAAATTTACTTCAACTTGAATAGCATATAATAGAAACCTTAATAGGATGTTAAGTTGAAGTCTATTATCGTGCTTTTGAACCTGATTGCACAAAACTATGGTTCAATTCAAACGTGTAAAGCCATATTGAGGCTACAGCGAATTTGCGCCGTATAATGACACTGTAATAAATTAATAAATAAAAAATACCAAAACAGTTTCAGAATATCTGGGGCAGCTACAGTGCATGTAGGTTTTAAAAACGTTTCTGAATATTTCGGAAACCTCTTTCCGTAATATTCAGAAATATTTCGCAGTACTTCATGAAATATTTTGAAGATTCAGATTATTCAGAAATATCTTGCAGTTAATTTTTATTTTATTTATTTATTTATTTTTTTAATATTTTGAAGCGTTTTTTATGAGTGTTACTTAATATTTGAGAAACCTCTGAACCGGGGAAAAGCTACCGATAATGTCAACCGTCAAGAGGTATCTCAAAAAAATAGCGTGTCTTCCATACTAGTGAATTGGAATTTAATGTAGCTACGCTACATTTTGAAACTGAATCGGCGTAAACGCGATTCAGTTTCCAACTTTTACAAGTAAAACAAATATTTCTCAATGGATCGGAAACATGATATTAAATGAAATTTTCTGAGATTTTCAGAAACATTCTTGTCGAGTCAAAATTAGTTTCTGAAATTCTTCACAGTTTAGATAATCTAATTCAATGTTCAACTGATTTTTCTGAATGTCTACTTTGTATGTGTGAATAATAATAGGGGCAATTCAATCTCAACAAAACGAAACAACGGAACAGGAAAAGCAAAATATCACTTCATCGAACAACATTAAGAAAGTAAGAGTAAAAACAATGTCGAGGTTGCTTGCTGCTTTTTCAAACTGCTGATGCCTTTTAAATGTTTGGTAAACCAATGTGATCCTTGCATCAAAGCGGCAGGAAGAAAAGAGAGAAAAAAAAAATTCCTGTTTTAGTGGAGAAAAAAAATCTCCTTAATGAGAACATCAGATAACGGGTTTCGGATTATCCAGTCGAAATCATTTGAAATGGTGCGTGCCTTCCGCGACAAAACGCAACCGAATCACGTTCTACTTCACTCTTCCATTCGAACGAATTTTGCAGAATAAAATCACGCTATCCATAACCACGGGTTGTTCCTGACGATGCTTCAATTAGTGCAGATGCCCGGAATCCCACGCGCTTGTTTTTGTTCCCCAACTGAGCCATTTTGTAAAAGAATTGTCCATGATTCTGTTAGGGTGCCTTTGTGGCGCAACTCTCATGACATGGATCCCTGGGCCCCCTACCAGAGCTTCTTTTTTAACCCTGGATGCACCTGGAGGGGCAAAGTGCTTGGCGGAGAGGCCCCAAAACTGTTGTCCCATCCCCTCTTATATGCTTCAGATCCTATGAGCTCTCCCAAACGATAGTTCGGTTTAAATAACTTCGAAGAGGATTCTTTTTGCCATTATTTGTGTTCCCTAACGCGAATAGACTTTTAAGGGCACTTCGTTTGAAAATGAGACCTCCCTCCCTCCCTCCACAGAGCATTAAAAGTAGTCCCCCTGTAAAAAGATGGAAGCTTTTTTATTCGATTCGACTTCGGCTTTTGATTTCGTCTCATTCAGTGGGGAAGGCTTTCAGTATGAGTCAAGGCACTTCACCATAAGAAGAAGTCTCAGGCAAGAAATGAAAAGGGCGCCGGCGTCAAAAGTCTGAAGACCCTTTTTTGAATGTCGAACATTATTCCGCCAGAATGGTTACAAAGATGTCGGACTTAATATACTTTAATCATTCACATTCCATCGCCTTCAACAGATTATAAGAAAGATCGAAAAAAGAAATCACATATGTTATTCAAGGCTGTGAAATCGAATAAAGTCTAGTCGGAGTCAAGAGTTGGATCCACTCCGGTCTGGTTAAAAATTAGATAATAGAAATTAAAAAGTTTTTGATCTTATGAAAATTACGCAGATTAATGTTTATAATTCATGTCCTGTATTTGATTGATCGTAAAGACACAATTCCCAGTAGAACACCGAAGTCAAGCATCACTGACGACTGCAGTTAGTAAGCGCGTGGGTGACCACTTTGATCAGTCTACGTAGGGACCGAGAGTGCGCGGTATTGGTATTCAGGGATGTTTACCAGACCATCGTCCATAGCCCATTGTGCAGCTCTAGTGCGAAGTAAATAAAATACCTACCTACATTCATATCTGAACAAAAATATTACTGAAATGAGTTGCAATTTTTTAAATTGCAACTATCACAAATTTAATTTAACCCGTTTGAACGTATTCGAGCCGTATGTTCGATAGAACTATTTATAAAATAGATAAATTTTTAAATCTCACTTCATTTAAAAAATCAATTGAAAAGATATGCAACATTCGTAATCTTTTCTTAACTTCAGAATATTTCTGAAAGATTTTTTTTTTTTTTTTTTTTTTTTTTTTTTTTTTGAAATAAGAGGTTTATAAATGTGCGTAGTAGATATTGGTATCTTATCTTCAAAAACAACTTACAAAAACAATATTCTTACATTGTTTTTGTGCAAAATCAATATCTTGTACAAATACATTTTGTTAAATTTATTTCTTTAGCTGTCATGTTATAATATATAAAATATACTCAACTCTATTCATGCATACGCACTCTCAAAAATATTTCAAACTTTTTGCTAATCAGGAAAAACAACTCTTTGTCCAAATTGATAAATAAGTGTTTCCTGTGCATCTGTTGTCATTTATTGTTATGTCAAAAAGTACATTAGTATTTTCCCCCAATTAAATTTTATTTTTTTTGTTGAACACTTCTTATTACCCATTCTTATTGTTTATAAAAGTTGCTTTAAATTTTCATTTCACCAAAAATCACGATTCAGCTTTATTTGCAGCACTTGCGTACTCAAACATTCTCATAAATAAAACTCTCACTTTTGACGATTTAGCAATCCTTGAGTTGCATTTCATTAAGTTTGAGAATCATTTCATAACGAAATCACGTGTTTTTTGTGACAATACGCGAACTCTCAAATCTAGGGCGAATATGTTTCCTCAACTCGAAACCTAATCGCAGTGCATTGTGGGAGAAAGTTAACTATAGACTAGACAATCGAAAATAAATTGACGAGTTGAGCTGTCCAAATGTAGGGTGGTCAAAGAATGGACCTCGTCCCAGGAAGATCCCGTGTTCGATTCCCGATTCGAAAATTTGTGTAGTTTATCTGTTTTTGTCCGGGTGACATTGACCCAACCATATGGTGCCCAAGTTAATGATTAGAAAAGTTAGATACATTTAGCTGCTAATAATTTTCTGCTGTGCTAATAATTTCCTCTTTTTATAGCTGATATCCTGCAATTAAAATACTACAATTTGACAAAAATGTGTTTCCATTAGTAGATGAACCTTTATTTATTTTACACAGACAGAATATATACTTTTCTCTTCATTTTTCCGTAAATGGCTTATATAAAACTATTTCTTTTTCTCTTCATGTTAAAGAAGCATGAGAAGGAAAATAAAGTTCTTTTTTTAAGCAAAGGTTGGATTCAGAATATCAATAATAATATTATAGAAGAACATTTTAATTTTGAGAAAAATCTTGGGGGTCCTTTCACACCCCACACCCCCTATACCCACTGTGTTCTGTATTTGAACGCTGCACACACGATACGATTTACGTTTTAAACGAGGTGTTATCCAAACAATAGAAACATGAAGAACGTAACAGAATAAGTTGTTGAATATTTTAATAATCTGAAAAAAACCGTCAACATGGATAGGAAAAATCCAGTGCATTTTTTTTTTTATCATAATAAAAATTTCATGATAATTGTCACGAAATGTACTAAATATTTTACGCATAGGGAAGTTTCAGGATTTTTATAGTCATCAAAATAGAAAAACTGCAATATTTTCCAATTATGATTAACATTAAATGAATTTTAAATGTAATGTATTGTGTTTACTCATAATTTAGAGTAATAGGCATTTAATTCATCAAAGATAAAAGATTATTTAATTAATTTAAAAAAGGAGATCTGAATTAGAAAAAAGGTAGCATTTTAGAACAAAAAAAGCTTTAAACTAATTTTAATATGAATTCGTAGAATATGAAATATGAATTCATTATGAATTCGTAGCACTTATTTAAATATTCAAGCAAGCAAGAATCTACGCAAAAATTCTATTTCAATATGGATTTTTTTAAGGGAACTTACTCAATTTTAGGGAATTTTCTAAAATTTACAAAAGCCAGGAAAATTTTTATGCAGCCAGTTGACCGGGAAAAAATGGCAAAATCCAGCCTGAAAAAAGCTCTACTTAGAGTTGAGATCTATGTCTGTCTGTCATATCCATTCACAGACTGTACAGTGAATGATTGAAAAACCAATTAATTTAAATGTTAGTTCCTCATGGGTCTTCAAATGGAATAAGTTTTCTAATTTATTCGATAGGGTGCTCTGTAAACAATGCTTCTTTAGGAATCGATTTGGGAAAGGTAGGATGTAGGCAACTACGTCTATTGGAAATGTAAAAAATACAAATAAAAATAGTAGTTACCTTCTTTGTTCATGCCAGCTTCTTGGCACTTTTTGAGTCTGCAGTGCCTGCACTGATTTCTGTGAACTTTGTCGATCGGGCAATTTCCAGTCGCACCGTTCTTTCCTTTACAGACATAGTTTCGAGCTCTACGAATCGATCTCTGTAAACAAGTATTGACCTTAAAATGACATGTCATTTATTGCATCAAAATAATTGTCTATAAATAATTTAAGCTACTTAACAATTTCTAATCGAATTGCTCGTATTCTGAAGTTAAATTTATAAATTGTATTTCTAAAATTATCGAATTTTTAATAATTTTTTTATGGTTAATTTCTCAAAAAAAAATAATTTCTTAAACACTTTTAAAAACATTTTATTAATGAACAATTTATCTTTTTTTCTTCAAAATTATATTTTTTTTCTTCTCCATGTTTTCTTTATATTTTAAACTTGTTTTATCGGTTCTCTTCAGCTAATGCGCAGTAAATAAAACTTAGTGTTTCTTAATTTTCTTTTCAAATTCTTTATTCTGAAAGATAGCTCATAAAAAGTAATTTTTGAGTCTAAAAAGTTTGTACATTGGGGGGTGGGGATCGAAAATTAATATTGAAGAGAAAAAGAGAATTGAAATGAAACAAATGAAATACTAGTGAAAAAGGCGAGACTGTAAACATCAAAACGCATTTAAAACAAAAATGATTCACTTAATCATATAATTTAACTGGATTTAATGCTTTAAATCCCTCTCTTATCTCGCATTAGATACCGTTTTTTCTCCATTCTCTTAAATATAAACCTCTAATACTTTATCATTTAACTTCATTTCGAGCAAGTATTCTATGAATATTAAGACTATTACGGAGTACCTTATTATGAAAATTATGTATAAAAGTAATATTCTACATAATATCACGAAAAAGTTCATTTGAATCTAAAATTACGTAACTGTAATTTTTTAAAACTGCAATCATCATGACTGACTAGGTTGATATTTCTGGCTAAAAACAAAATATTAACTTACTTAAAACTAAAATACACTACAACTTCTTTGATACCTAATAACATTTTTCGTGTCATTCAGTTATAAAGAATCATTAGAAAATAGAATATGAAATTAACTTACTTTAAAAAAGCCAGCACACCTGTAAGTAAAGAGGAAAAATAAGTTGTTGTTTTTTTTTTAAAATGTTTACATTAAAACATTCATAGATTAAACTGCAGTTAAGATTTGATTAATTTTTGTCTTTTGAATTTGAAATAAAATAACAAAAAGTTCATTCGATACAAATTTCTCAAAACTTAAACATAGAAAAGCTATACCCAATCCAAACATATGATAAAATTAGATACGATTAAATATGATTTGGTTATCAGTTTACCAGAAATTTTTTCGCTAAAACTGATGGAATAAATAATACATAATATTCAACATAAGTAAAAATAAGAATGTAAAAAATTTATTTTGTAAGTGGATTTTGGTTTTTGTATATATCACACAACATAACATTTAATACTTTTTTGAAGTAAAATTGCTGCAAAACTGAATGAAACCAAATTTATTGTTTTAAAACATGCATTATAAATATATACGTGCGTGCATTTTCTATATTAGTATGAGTACATCCGCCTTAAGTTAATAACTTCACTCAAAAATTTTGTTTTAAAATTTTGCTTCAAAAATTTTTCAAATACTCATTTGAAAGAATTGTAAAATTCACTTGCATCTGAATTGTACTGCTGTATTAAACTGCATTTTCTTAAAATTCATTACTTTATCAAAAAAATTATTTAAAAAATGAAACAATTTGTTTAACTCTTAAATTAGTACTTTTTCTGAAAATTTGATAGCTAATTATCAGTTCAGAATCAGTTATTTCAGCACTTAAATTATAGCTTTTTTGTTGAAATATAATGCATAATGATGTGCTATTAAAATAATGTGTAAGAAAAGTTTTTCTTTTTGGTCTAAATTGGGTGCAACATTTGAATATTTTGTACTGATTATTGATACTGATGACTTTATGATTTTGCTTGAAGTTATTTTTATGACTCCAAATACTTGAAAGTAATTTGGGACAAAATGTTCGACCAAAATTTTTCAAATGTAGCATCGAATCTTGGATGAGTGAGCATCATTTTTCAAAGATTTTTTTTTTGATCAATGAATAAATATTCAACAAAATATTTTTTAGAAATATCAGCATGACAAGATAAATAGCTTTTAAAACAATACTTCATTTATGATTAAATAAAAATTCAAAAAATACCTAAGAAAAAGTTAAAAGCCATATGTAAAAATGCGCTATTGAAAACTGATGCAACCCCTATGAGTTGAGATTCTTCCCAAAAAATAAGTAAAAATAATGATAAAACTTGTTTTTGACAACACTTAGTGTTGCTTTCTGATTGGTTACTATATTCCACCTCTTTTATCCAACCCTCTTTATAAATGTTGCATACAATTGCAGAAAAAAGTATTTTTCTTCTATCATAGTAGGCTCTAAGAACAAAAGAAGCAAAAGTCCCTCCCTCACCAAAATAACATTTCTCACGACCCCTGACTGCGATCCCCTAAAAACGAGTCACGTGGCCACTGGGTGCAGGAGCCAACCACCGTGTGGCGCTTCCTGCTTCGCGGCAGACGTCAGTAAAACGCGTCTGCTGTATACTCAACAGGGATTGGGGAGAAAGAAGGGTGAGTATTTTAATAATACACTGATATTAAACCCACCCCACCCTCGAAATGTCAAACCCCTCTCTCCGTGATGGACTTAAATGTCATCATAACCCTCAACTTCATTTCGAGATTTATTGTTCAAACAACTTAAACTGAAACAAATATGTATTTCCTGCAATAAATATCGTTGATCAAAATATAAATATCGCATCATTGTCTAAAAATTCTAATACTAACCAGAAATCTAATAATAATAACAGTTTATTTTATAGACATCGTTAGCCATTTTAGAGTGTGTGAACAGTAATTGTATCGATTAAAGGCTAATTTGAACATGACTCTGCTTCAATTTCAATTTAACACTTTATTATAGTGGCAGAAAATGTATTCCCGATTAAGATTTAAGGTACTTATTTTGGTTTGGACAACAATTTCTGGCAAAGGAATCTGATGAGACTAATATTCTTGCCAAAATAACCACACACACACACAAAAAAAAAAAACCAAAAAAACAAGCAAANAACTCGCTTTGTAACATTACTTCAATATATGATAATTATATTATTAATGTAATATTATAGGAATGTTAACTACCTTTAACTAATAACAAACGTATTTTCAGATTTGACGATTTTTCGGATTTTGAAGTTAAATATAAAAGTGTTAATCACAAATATTTTTTAATCGATATCTCAATTATAATTGATTATAATTACATAAAAATAAATGAAAATTCAAAAAATACCTAAAATAAATTAAAAGTCATATAAAGTTTAAAAATAGACCACTGAAAACGCTGATAAAAGTGTAAGAGTTGAGATTTTTACTAAAATAAACAACGATAAAATAAAACGCATTTTTGACAACGCTTTCTCATTGGTTACTATTTTCTTTTTAATTATTAATATATCAAAATAAAATGTATAGGTATTGCTGCTAATGATATGAGTCTAAATTTCTATATCAAAATTATTTTAAAAAATCACTTCAGGGGTGGGGGAATCTTGTGTAAGCTCACAAAATAAAGCCATAGTATGCACGCTTTGAAAATGAAAGTAGGATTCTTTTTAATTAAAAAGGTTCTGAAGACTTAATTTCATTTGAAAATAATGTCCTCCAATAGTTTTAATTGGGAAATCCGAAACTCATTTTATGTTCTTTTCAAAGCTTTAAAACCCTAAGTCTTGCCAATATATTGAAATACTTTTAAAGTCAAGGATAAAAATTTCGAGATTCAAAAATACGAAAGCTGTTTACGGTTACATAATTCGTAAGCCATATAATTTTATAATTTTTATCTCTATCCAAAACAATTACTTATTATAAAACTTTCTGTTATAAAATTATAATTTATCTAAAACCGTCTATCGATAGTATCGGGGCTTTATAAAAACTATAACCATCTTATCTGATATTCACTAAAATTCTTACATTCCTAAACAAAAATTCTGACCACTTATCTCCACAAAAATCTAATTTTATCGGTTTTGATCTGATCTTCAAACATTCTTACCATTTTATCTGATTCTAAAAGAAATATTCCGAATACAAATTATCTCAAACTTCATCTGTAATTTTTAATCTTAAAAACATTTTATCTCAATCTTCCGAATCATGAATATGTTCTTCCTTTCCATTTCACGCTATNATTGCATTATTTATCTTTATGCAAAAACATTATTTATCAGTATTAAAAGCATATTTATATTTAAAGGATTAGGTATTAACTTTTGTTGCTCAATGAATTATGGAGCTTCAAAAATTATGAACCTTTTTCTATTATATTATATTATTTTCTTTTGATAAGTTAAAGTAAATTGTATAAAAAATATCAAATATTTATTGATACATGTAATTATTATGTGTACAATGGTTACACCTATGGAATTTTTACCTTCTACCAAAGTTCAAGGTTATGGACAGTTTTACCCAGTTGAAGGCAGTTTTACCCAGTTTAGGACAGTTTTACCCAGTTTAAGACAGTTTTACCCAGTTTAAGACAGTAAAACCCACGTGTCCTGTCCAAAACCAGTTTAGGACGTCCAAAACCCCAACCCTGATTGAAATACTTTTAAAGTCAAGGATTAAAATTTCGAGATTCAAAAATACGAAAGCTGTATAGGGTTCCATAATTCGTAAGCCATATAATTTTATAATTTTTATCTCTATCCAAAACAATTACTAATTATAAAACTTTCTGTTACAAAATTATAATTTATCTAAAACCGTCTATCGATAGTATCGAGGCTTTATAAAAACTATAAAAAATCTTATACGATATTCACTAAAATTCTTACATTCTTAAGCAAAAATTCTGACCACTTAAACTTATCTCCACAAAAATCTAATTTTATCGGTTTTGATCTGATCTTCAAACATTCTGACCATTTTATGTGATTCTAAAAGAAATATTCCGAATACAAATTATCTTAAACTACATCTGTAATTTTTAATCTTAAAAACATTTTATCTCAATCTTCCGAATCATGAATATGTTCTTCCTTTCAATTTCACACTATCCCTTGACTTCAGCCGCTCATTAAGTTTGGAAAAAATACATGTTATTCTAAATAAGCAATTCTGAAAAGTATATGGAAGGGAGGGAGGGAGGGAGGGAGAGGGACCCATAATGCATAAAGAGGTCCCGGATCCGGACAATAAGGGAGGGAGGTGTCAGGATCAGGCCTCTCGAATTGTCAGGAGAAAAATGTCACCTACTGGATTTTGATTCTCGCCACTTGAAGTGCGGAAAACATCCCCCCGGGGGGGGAATAGGGACCGCCTTCTGTTCCGTGCAAGCAGGGGATCCTTTCGTCTGCCTGGAGGCAAAAACCCTTTTCATTAAATGGGATGGATTTCTGGCAGTTATGCAAGGATGTCTTCGCTGAAAATCAGAATAAACTACTTCCAATGATGTCGAATGAACAACCTATTTCAGTGATTATTAATCTAGCGATTCATTCTAATCATAGAGCATGTTATCTTCCAATGATTCGAATCATAGAACAGAACAACGTATCTTCAAATGATTTCAGAAATGAAAGAACGTGTCTTCCAATGATTCCAAACGAGGAACAAAATAACTTAGAATGAATTCAAGCACTGATTTCTTTCAATGATTTCAATCATTGAACATCCTGTATTTCAATAATTCCAATTACTGAAAAACGTTACTTTCCATAATTCTTTTCGTGGAACAATCTTGTTAGTTTTCCAAGCTTGAAAAAAGCGTTTTTTTTCCCACTGGCCTGAAATAAAGTAGCTTCTATTGATTTCAAACACGGATTAAAATTTTTTTTTTTTTTCATGAATATCATTCTTGCAGCGTGGGATATATTTGAAAAATTCCAATAAATGTACAAGGTTTTTCTCTCAATGATTTCATTCGTAGAACAACCTAAGTTTTCCAAACATTTATTCCAATGATTCTATTCATAAAATAACATATTCTTACATTGATTCTCTTCCATAATTCCCGTTCTAGTGAACAACATAACTTTCAATAACACCTCGTAACTCCCGATCTTCCAAATAATTAATTGAATAAATGAAAAAAATAAAGTCGGAAAGAAAGAAAACTTACCCATCGCAAGAATAAATTCCGTAGTGTTTTCCGGAAGAAAAATCTCTGCACACTTTACACTTTACATCAGTTAGAATGCGATCTGAAAATATATATTACACATTTCACAAAGGATGTAACTTCAAAATCATTGCATACATTCATACATACTCGAGAATGTGATCCGGGGTAAGTTGGATATCGGTGCAGTTCTTGCAGGGAATATAAGTGCTTATTTTGACGGGAAGAAGCTAGCATTATAATTAATTATATTATATTAATATAGCATTATATTAATTAATAAAGCATTATAAAGTTCATGTTTTAAAGATTAAACACATAGTGAAGTTTTCAAAGAACTGCACCGAGTGTTAAATGAAAGCTCCAATATTACAAAAATGGCATTTATTTAAATATCTGAGATGCTTTTCAGTAATTTTAACTCAAACAAGACACCAACAATCCCATCCCTCGGTACAATACAACTGCATGAAATTTTTCAGTCGACGATATTAATTCAAATTTTTTAATTTTCTTATCTCGTAATTGGTAGTTACGGGATAAGTTCCACAAATGTCGCTTGCCTTTTTAATCTATCTTGTTGTAACGTTTTTTTTTTTTTTACTATAACGTAACTAAGCTAGATTTTTTTTAATTTACAGAACTATTTCAAACATAGAGAAGTAAGAGGAGCAACCCACTACTAGTTGATCATCTTTCAAATATAGGAACCTATGAAGGGTTCATTCAGAGGGGTGAGGGGACATCATTATCTTATCGACAACTTTTGTCGTCTGCTGAAATCGTTTCTATCACCTCGCATCTCTATTAATAATGTTTTGACTGTAGAGACTTTTTGGCCTGACTGATGGCAGATTATATTCTCAACTCTTTCCTCCCCATCCTAATGCAGTGGTCAACTATATAGAATGATTTGGCCCCCCTCTTCATAAGCCACCCTTTTTAGGCATCTGCCCTACCGGCCAAGCCCCTCCTATATCCACCATTCCAAAGTGACACAAACATCTGTCCATCTATTTGCCAACGTACAAGTAGAAATTTGTTTACGCACAATTCCTCGGCATCGTCTTTTTTTTTCCTTCTTCTTTCAAATAAACAGTTCGTAAACAGCTCCGTAGCTTTATTTATTTACTTATGACCGTTTTGTTTATTTGCATAATAAACGAACATGAAAGAGAAATAAATACGCACTGCGGTCCATTATAAAAAGGAACTCCTCTGTTAGCATGGAGACGTAACTAAATATGTTTGTGCAATTACATGTGTGGAAAGTTTGGTGATTTCCCTGAATGCTGTTGTTATTGAAGTTCAAAGAATAATTATTTATCCTTATGTTCAAAGAATAATTACTTCAATTTATGTTGTTGTTCCTATCATAAAAAATGGTGATCTCAATGACTGTTGTCAATCTTGTCAGAGAATTGTCATTTTAAAGAACATTGCCTTTTTGAATAATTAAAGAATAATGCTTTCAATTTGCGCTGTTGTTCTAATTGTGGAAAGAATAATGATTTTAATGACTGCTGCTGTTCCTGAAGTGGAAGGAAAGTTTATTTCAATGAATGCTGTTGTTCTTGAAGTGAGTGGAAAGAACTGTGATTTCAATTAATGCTGTTACGTACTACCAGAGTATCATGGATTAACATTTATTTTAAATGTCAGTAATGGAGAGCGACGTGATCTTTACTCATTAATGATCGTGACGTCAGTCTCCTGAGCATCTGCTCATCTCTTCGACTGAGTGACCACACCAGGAAAAAAGGGGGAGAGGGGGGGGGGTTCCCCGCAGGTTGGTGGGATGATACAAAATGCAGTGATTTCATGATGAACAGTGTCTCGTCAATGAAGCGTCGACACTTTCCCCCACCCCCCTCACTGAATCACGAACTAATATCATCAGGGTCAGAAAGCATTGATCAATATGAGTCGAAAGTGATATTTTTCTCAATGAAGGGGTAAAATATAGCTCCTCAATTTCAGAAAATTGTGATCAAGGTTTAACCACACTGTAGGTATTTCGAAATGTATGACCATGCGAATTTGCAGCAACCTCGATGAGGTTTTTAAATTGAATTATATTTTGTTCAAATTGAACATAGTATCGGGTTTAAAAAGTATAATTAGTAGATTCAACTTATAGCATTCTATCAAGATTGTGGCAAATTTAAAAGACAATATGGACTAAAAAAAGGCAATTTAAAAGACAATATTTAAAAACGCTTCATAGTTAAGCCATACACAGTCGAATAGGGTTCGAATATAACAATAGAATTGGGTTTAAAGAGCACAATAAGTTGATTCAACTTATAGCATTCTAACGGCGGCAAATTTGTACGACAGCAGGATTCAAAAAGGCTCCACAATTTCTAACAATAAATTTGTAACGCACTTTATTTAGTACTCCAGGTAAAGCTGAACTGAAATAATACACAGTTATGAATTAAAGTTGTGTGCTGTACTGTAAAATATCGATACATAAATAATTAATTTTTTTAAACAAAAATATAGATAAAAAAAAAACTTTCTTTAGTTATGAAAGAAAATAAGAATTGAGAGAAAAACACCTAAATAGCAAAAAAAAAAAAAATAATAATAATAACTGAAGGGAAAAATAAATAAGTCATCCGTCTAAACAATACCCCTTAAATAATATGGTAATTTAGGGGGGAAGAAAAGTAATTTAAGGAGAAAAAACAATGTAAATGAGGGTAATTCTAAAAAAATACGAATGATAATCATTGGACTATTATTATAAAGAAGTCTACAATTCATTTTTGTTTTAACGATCGAGCAACAGCTTTTAAGAAGGACCATAAAGTATAATAAAAATATTCAAAACATGTTGTGTTTTTTTTTCGACTTTACGTGAACGCCAAAACTGTTTACGATCATTTTTAAATGCATATTTATCTATATATAAGATTTAAAAATGAAATTATTTTCATAAATTTTTCAACATAAAAACTCGTCTTATTTTCAGTTAACATGACTGAAGATCATTTTTATTCATACCATCCGAATGAAAGTAGGCATCAGTAGACAACAAATGGGATGGAAATGATTCACAAGTAGATGAAAAGGAATTGATGAATATATGAATCTAATGAAGGCGTACAAATGATTCGGTTTTTTGCAACAAAAACATGCATAAACATTACTGACATTAATTTTTATATATATATATAAAAAATTTAAAAAATCGCGGAGCATAGCTATTTTTTTAATTCATTGTCATTTTTGTCAGATTTTGTTAATTATATTCTTTTGCGTTGTATGTTCTTTGTTCATCAATTACAAATAATTTTTAATGGATCGATTTCACTTGTCCAATTTAAATAAAGATGAGAATTTCACAATTGCGGAAATTAACAAAATTATTTCGAAAATTTAAGCTATTTATCAAAACAATTCATTATTTTATGTCCAAAAGTAATTAAAAACGAATTATCAGCCTGTGTGTTAAAATTGTAAGTAAAGAAACATTTAAATGTCTGCAAAAAAGAAAAAGAATAATAATAAATCGAATTGCCAATTTCGACTAAGCTTTAGATGGAGCTGTGGTGGCTCAGGGGAGAGAGAGTTCGCCTCCCAATGAGGTGAACCGGGTTCAAATCCCAGCAATGGCTGGTCTATTACGAATTCCCCACCCGGCTCTCACAGATCACGTTGCTGATGTAAAATTTCCCACATGGTTGACGGATCATGGGTTAGAGTCCCCTTGCCATCAGGCTAACCGTGGAAGGTTTTTCTGGTTTTTCTTCTTCATGTAAAGCAAATTTTGGATTAGTTCCACATAAAAAAAAATTCTCCACGAAGGCAAATTTCTAACAATCCAATGATTCAAGAGTATCCTTGTCCTCTGGTTCAGATTCAAATTTACAAGACTACGGAGTAATACATTAGCCGTCGTAAAATCAGAAAATTGAGTCGGTTGTTCAACGACGACAATACAAAATAAAATAAAACTTTAGATTTGCTTTTTAATACTGCATTTAAACTTTTGTTCTTCGATCTTTTGAAATAAAATTACATTATTTTTTTTTACACTTGCTGGCAGACGTTTTTTTTTGTTTTTGTTTCTTTTAAATCACATATTGTTTCTTCTAAATTAAATGTACCTTTTCAAAAAAGCGTTGATTTTACGAAAATCTAACGCAGACGCACGTTACGAGAAAAAGTTTTAAACATTTTATTTCTAAACACAAATAACCATACACCGTAAAAAAAAAATTCCGAAAATGTTTCTGACTATATGGGGCAGCTACGGTGAACATAATTTTCAAAAACGTTTCTGAATATTTCGGAAACCTCTTTGTGTAATATTCAGGAACATTTCACAATACCTTGAATATTGAATAAATATTTTGAATCCTTTCTTGCAATTTCAGTTTTTTTTCCTTCCTATTTAATACTTTGAAGCGTTTTCTAATATTTCGTAATCTCCTTGTTTGGCTCGGCTACCAACCGTCATCTATCAAAAGGTAAATTAAGATAGAACTGAGTCTTTTATATTAATGAATTGAAAATAAATAGTTGTAGCAGTAGTTACGTTACACTTTGAAACTGAATCGGCTTCCATGTGATGCCGATTTTTGAAAATAAAAGAAATGTTTCTTAATGGATCGGATAATAAAGAAATTTCTCTGAGATTTTCGGAAACATTTCTGCCGAGTCTGAAATTTTTTTAGAGTGCATTATTGATCTACAAAAAAAAAAAAAAAAAAAAAAAANAAAAAAAAAAAAAAAAAAAAAAAAAAAAAAAAAAAAAAAAAAAAACTTTTGATAGTTATGCCTTTTGTTGGCAATTTTGTTTTGTTGGCATAAATTCAAATTTTGTAAAAATTTGTTGTATTTATGCTCGAATTTGTCTTTATTATAAAAAAATATATATTTTATAAATTTGTAAAGTTCACTGAATAGTCACTGAAGACTCTTGGTGACCAAAAATAACATTAAAATTTTAATTAAGGTTATGTCCAAAGTAAAAATTATGTCAAACCCAGTCGGATTCCTTTATGGCCTATTATAAATTGTTGAAATTAAGACTTTATTCGAAAACACATCATTGAGAAGTACTATTTCACAATATTTTCTGACATATAAAAATATAAATGCAGGAAGGAGAAAATATAATTATAAATTATATTTCTCTTTTTTCATATGAAATTAAACTAATTCGATGTTTTTGATATAAAGCGCCTCAATTACTATGTATCATTAAATCATTTTAACTCTTGCATGTTCGTGTTTATTGATTATTATACAAAGGTCATCATTCAATCATCATCCATTTGAGATACACAAAGTACGGTATTTCAGATTATTTACTTCATTTTTTCAGATAAAATTATACCAATACAATTCTGCATTTAGTTTTATACATTGGATTGTTTTTAGATCTTCAGCAAACATCCTTTTCTTTCCTGTTTTCTTTTCTCTCCGTTTTTTGTTTCAAATAATGGTTAAAAGAATATTTCAACAGTATCGGAATCGGGTTTTATCTGTTTAAGCTGAATTGAAATAAAATTTGAAAAAGAAAATCTGAGAACTGACAAAATGCTTTGTTTTAACTGACTTACTGAAGGACACAAACGGCATAACATTATTGACTATCGTTTTTATCCGTTAAAAGTTCTAAAACTTTTGAACTCCTTATCTAACAAAGCGAACTTTTTATTTTTTAGTTTTTTCTGAAGAGTATAATGCTGCCTGCCGAATGATACTAGACTATCAAAAATGCGTAAAGTAAAATAAATTATAATAATCAAGAAAATTAAAAATTTAATCTGAAATCCAAATCCAAAGGGTACAAAATTCTATCCTATTTTAAGAAAAAGTTATAAGTTTAATATTAAGTGTAAGACATATTTTCACTATCATTTCAAATTAAAAACGCAGTTATAAAATACATATAATTTTAACTCAAAATAGTGTAATTATATTCTGACATGACCCTATTTTGCTCACAAGTGATTAACTGATCTACCCTTAACGCCTCCAAGAAGTAAAAAGGAATAAAAAATAAAAAAACAATTCCCTTATTTAGTTATTTTTCTGTCATTTCGATTGTAATAAATAAAAAAAAAGAAGTCCAAATTTTGCTCCATTTAATTTAATTTAAAATGGCTTTGATCCTATTATCACGAAACATACAGTCACGAAAAATCAAAAAAGCATTGTTTTTAAGTGGTATCCAACATCAAAGAATGTCTTCTTTAAACAACACTTCTTTCTACCCTCAGAATGGAAGATCGTTTACAAAAATGAGATGCGTCGTTGTGGCTCACCTCGGAAGTTATTTTTATCCCATTTTAATTCAAACACCTTCATTTCGCTGATTGCAAAATAGAAAAGGAGGCCACCACTTAATTGCTTTATGATACATAAAAATATCGATTGTTATGCCCTTCAATGAATAGCCTAAATTCGAAACCACTTTTTATATTTGTAGGAATATGTTTGAAACCACATCAAAACACTCAAATTAAAAGAGGTATACTGTACAAATTCCGAGCCACGTCGCACCAAAAATTGGTATTCATTTGCTGGCTACATGAAATGGAGCTCAATTTTACCATATTTTGGTACTTTCACTTGCTCCAAATATCGGTAGAAGGTTGCACCAAAAGTAGGAGTTTTGAAGAAACACTTATTTTCATTCATTATTTCACCTTTTATGAAAGCAGAGAAAGGCTGCACCGTTATTAAGTATTTTTAATACACTCAAATGCAGGCCAAGGTTGCTATTTACCGTAAAACTATTCAACCGGAAGTTGGTTATTTTATGACATACCTCTAATCATTTTATACAGCAACATAAAAGAAATGAACTTTAATGAAGAAACCATTTACCCACTTGATACTAGAAGCAACATGTTATGAGTCGTCCCTATACACCGAGACCGAGTCGCAAAGAAAACGCGGCGTTGTAAGCAAATATCGTTCAGTTTACCGTCGAAGTTTTGTGCCTTTTATCAAATTTTGGTGCAGTTAGTTGCACCATGTAAATATTTCTCGATCATATTTCGCAAAGTAATAAAATTATTTTTCATTCAACTAAACTTTGGGATAATGAGAAACTTTGCATCAAATACTGGTTACCGAGTTTCTTTTACAGCGTAAACAATATTATTTTAACATGAGTGTAAAAGTGTCCTCCAAATGTAAGTTGAAAATCTAAATCTTAAATTGAAGTGAAATATGAATCTAAGCATGTGATGATTAAAAGGAGGCAATACTTTTTTTTTTCTCATTTACATTAAAATTTATTATTTTATTGTACTAAAAGCAAAAGTTTTGATGAATTAATTACAAATAAACTATCAATAAATGAAAATTTTGGAATCGTATAGATTTTAAATTAAATCTACAAAAATGAATCATAAATTTAACTATTAAAAATGTATTTATTAGAAACAGTTTCTTTTATAATATGTGACAATGTTGGTATTAATATTTAATTATAAATGATCTATTAATAATTTATGCAACAGGAATAAGAGTCAATCATTTTACTCTATGTGACAACTTTATTAATAATTATAAATTAAATATTAATAACTCATATTTTAGAAATTACTTATTCTACTAAATGGAACAATTGTGGTATCAACAATTGATTATACATTATCAATCATTCATTTTTAATTATACTTTACAATATGGGGAAATTTTGGAATTACTAATTAATAACAAAACAATTGATAAAAGCTGAATGTAGAAATAGTTTTTAGTACGATTTGTAATAATTCCGGTACAAATAATTAAATATAAATGAACGATAAACATATTAAATTTGAGAAATGAACGCCTATAAAAATGTGTATTAACATTTTTGAGTATGTGCAAACTATTATAAGTTAAATAATATTAATAATAAAATAAATAAGCAACTTACTTGAGGGTGGACGTTTAATCATAATTTCCTCAGTGGTGGCCGCTTCTTCAAACTCTAAACCAAATACTGATTTCATGTGAAAAACTAAATTTTTTTAAAACACGATCCAAAAATAATAAGCAACTACAAATGGGTTTTATTATAATAAAGATATTCTATTTCTAGAATAAATTGTTCTTAAATCGAGAACATTATCCTGTTATGAAGCACAAAATGAATCGAAATGAAAATGCTGTTGCTTCGGTGGGATGTTTTACAATAACTGACTTACTGTTGGGATTCAGTCAAGTTTGTTTACGTAACGTTGAAGGCGGGAAAGTTAAGGCGGAGTTAAGTCAAGAGTTACATGACGTCACTTCACTTCCCATTGGCTTTGGTACTTTGTACACTTTACCTCATCTTCCAAACATGGCGCTGGGTAGGCGTGGCTTACACCAAAAGTTGGAGTGTGAAGAATCTCTTTTGTAAGCCAACAAGGTATCACAACTTATAATGGTTTGTTAAAAGAAGAAGGGAAATCACTGAGGACAGTTTTCTAATCAAACGGGAAAATCACACAATCTTTTGTTTAAAGCTGGTCTTGAGAAATAAAATGTTAAAGCTTAATGAGAAAATGTGATATTTTAATGAGTGTGAGAAAATTTGATCTGAAAAGTATAGAAATATCGTATCTTTCTGTTATGGAAAACATCTTGTTCATAAACTTGGCAGATGAATGCTTGAAAACTAGAGAAGTCAATGTTTTGAAAACTTAATTCTATTAGACACTTCAAATGAGTTTGATTAAAATATTTTAAACCATTCGAAGCTATGGGGGAAAAAAAATATTGACTTTTAATATGCAACTGATCCATGCGAAAAGATTAAAAAGATTTCCTTGGTACTTCGTACCTATTTCACTATCGCAATAAAGCCAATAATTTTTTTTTTTTTTTAAATTCAACTGTTCTTTTTCGTTTTTTTTTTAATTTGGATTACTGAAAAGAAAGAAAGAAAGTAAATAGCTCGATTTACTTGTGGTAGTTAAATGCATAAGTACCGATTGCATTCATTCTAAATTAAAATTTACCGACTAAATAATTTATATTCTCGTTAACATTGTGTCCCTCTATCTCAAAAAATAAATTAAAAATTGCTAATTTTATGAAACTATGCTTTTAATTTTTTCCAGTGCGAAAAATTGTCCATGCTGCAGATTTTCGTTTTAAAAACGTGAAACATCAACAGAAATAAGAGTAAAAATATATAAACATACCCGTCCATCTATCTAATATCATTTAACCCAATGAAGCCAATTGCAAACCCATTGAAAAAGTTAATTCGATAAAATATCTTGGACTTTACATTGATTCGAACTACAAATAGAAATCTCTCGATTTTCGTGAGTTAAATAAGTTACGATTTTTAATTCATAATTTTTATCATTTACAATGTAAAGTTAAAAAAAAAAAAATTAATTCTCCTATATTACACGTAAGTTCATTCACAAATAAAATAAGTTCCAACAATTTGGAACGTGACTATTACTCAAATGTTAAAATAATTGATGCACTTCAAAAGAAATTTATAAAAAAGTTTAAAAAAATTTGGTATCTTTAATAAAATAAATATTATTCATTCCGCATTTGTTCTTCATAAAATCTCTATACATATTTGAATATGAGCACGAACGAGTAAATGTTAACCCCTTGTAAGCATAACGAAATTTTCCGAATTCCCTCTCAAAAATATTTTATGCGAGGACTTCAGTTGCTTAGCTCCATATTTCTTTATTAGTTTTTCCACCCATTGCTCCAAACAAAATATCATTCAAACGGAAACTTTTATTTACTTGTAACAATATTGCTGCTGTAATTCATTTACTTACGCACTATAGCTGCACAATGGACTATTGGCGACGATCTGGGAAACATCCCTGACGATGATTCGAACATCAAAATTTTGATCCTCTGCAGAAGGGATGGCACCCCCGCTTCGGTAGCCCTAAGACCTCAATTTTGAGAAGCACTTAACGATAGAACTGTTTAACGAGGACCCATACCTCACACCCTCGAACCCTACGAGACTCATCCAAATGGTCACCCACCCGCACACTGACCGCAGCCAGTGATGCTTGATTTCGGTGATCTGCTGGGCAACACTACTTAGAACTTCTTTTAAATTTATTTTTACCCATTATTACTTCGCAAAATAAGTTTTGCCTGTTTATGCTATTCCATATAATGAACTGTTTCTTCGTGTGCTTCTGAACTGGTCATACATGAAAAAGTGCCCCTAACGTTTCGCCTATGATGACGTTTCCGGGCATGGATTCTTATCAAATTTTAATCCTTGTGATGTGACCTAACTCTTTTGGAAGTGTGACGCATCATTATCATCGCCTGTTATATATAACGTTTTCAAACTTGTGCATTTCGTCAGCAAAAAAAAAAATTAATAATAATACTAATAATAAATTAAAATAAAATTTATTGAAAATTTCGTTTAAAAAAAATAATTTTAGAGAAAAAACTACTTTCAGATTTGAAATCCATACACCCGAATTAGGTAAGATCAATTCTTTGTATAAAAGCAACAAAAAACTGTGTTCCTCAATGTTATCAGTTTTCATTGAAAACATATTCAATAATGATATGAAAAATCGAATGAATGACAAAATTACATCAAATAAATGGGGAATACTAACAGTTTCAGAACACATCCTTTAGTTAATTCTTTCAGAACGAACGAATGTTTAAGACAATTTTAAACAAAATTCTACAAAAATTAAATTCAACTTAATTTAACTTTAACCCTTCTTTACGGAAGGAAAACCCAACGGTGAGCTAAACGAGAAGAGAGTGCATTTTAATGCTCAAAAAACGGAAATGTGGGCAGATTATTGTAACCAATAAATTTAATATAAAACTATTGGATTGACTAAATCGAAGGCCATAAGTACTGAATGAATACTTCAAGACTTGTAAAAAAGTAAATAACTAAAATTAAAGCGGTAGCGCTATGAAAGAAAAAAAAAACTATGAAAAATCATATTTTAACTTTTATTTTCGACTTAAAATATTCTAATTAAAACTTGAAATAAAAAAGGTACATTGTTATTGGAAAAGTATAACATGTACATAAGTACATCAAGGGATAGAAACTTTCGAAAGATAATATACATATCTTAAGCTGATTTAATATGGAAGAAAGAAAGAGAAAAGCTCCTTATGAACTCGATGATTAAGAAATTGCCGACAAGAGACCGATTTCTATTGTGAAAGAGTCGATGTGTGTGGTCTGCATAAGCGTGAGAAAACAGTACTAGAAACCATTTGTCAACAAAAGATAGGCAGTATATTTGACTTCTTAACCGTTGGTGAGTTATCGCTCATATATGGACACTATTTTCCCATCAGTTGAGGTGAAATACAAGGATTCAGCAGATGAAGGGTGAATTGCAGCTATAAAATATTTAGAGTGGACAAATCAGTTATATCACTCTTTTCTCGCATGTTTTTTAAGGTTAAAATCAATCAATCTTAAGTAAACAAATGATAGCCTGTCACTCACCTATTCATAGTGCTCTTGGACATTTATTTAGCACGTATTAAACTATAAGAAATCCAACAAAAAAAAAAGATGTAGCTGAGCTCGATTAGTTTCGTTTGCTCTCCAATAATCTAGGTAAATGAGTGGTGGTGGCTCAGGGGATAGAGCACTCGCCTACTGATGAGGTGACCCACGCTCGAATCTCAGCTATTCGATACGAAATCTTGCACCGGCCAAAGTGCTGTCGTAATATCTTTTCAGAGGTGGACGGATCATGGGCTAGAGTCTCATTGCCGTCAGGATAACCGTGGGAAGTTTTTGAGGTTTTTCTCTCCTTGTAAGGCAAAACATGTTAATGTCATCAAAAAGTCCTCCACGAAAGCAAATTTCTTCCAATACTTAATAAAGAAGTTCTTCTTCTAGATTGGATTCAAAAGAAGAAGGCTAAGGACATTGGTAGTCATCCAGTAGGTCGGCTGTTTAATGAAGGTTATGAAATATTTACTTCAAAAATCTTGGTGGATTCTCTCTTCACGATTTGTTTCGACATATTTTTTGTTTTGTTTCCTTAAACAGACTGTCGTATCAAAATTAAATGATATTCAATAAAAAGATACTAAAATCTTTATTTTAGTACTACAGAAATCGTTCCTCGTATTTAATTTTTCGATACTATTGGAATAATGTTTAAACACAATAATTTTCCTCGTTTATTATACGCAGTATGACAATGCTTTCATTTTTAAGCTCTTTTAATTTTGAATAATAATTAGAATTAGAAACCAATTGGTATCAGAAGTAGGGGACATCCAAAACTTTGATGGCTAGACTCCCTCAATTTTACGTGTTGAAAAACGAGAGAGGGAAATGTTTTAGAGAAGGCCAACGGTAATGAATGCATAATAGAATTTTATGAAGATGCAATGATTAATAAATAGTTTTGTGCTGATGACAACTAAAAATATCCGGTTCATCATTAAGGATAGGAGCATATCATGTAATTTTTCTGCCCAATGAGAATGCAAGGAAAGTTCATTTTCCTCAAAATATTTTCAGGCGCAGTTCCCCAGGTTATCCATAGTTAAAATTGTATTTTGCATTAAAACAGTGCTTTTTCAATTCTTTTAAAAAAGCACTTCATTTGCGTTGCATTTTAATGCAAATAAAAAGAAAGCGTATTTCTTAAATGAATTGCTTATTAATTAAATGTATCTTATTATTACTCAAATATTTCAGAGTCATTTTGAATAGGATTATAAATTTGCATTTAAAATATAAGTAATCGTTTACTTTTTGTGTTTGAAAACAAATTTCAATTTCTTGTTGTTGTTTTTTAAAAAAAAATACATGTGAAAAACTAGAATGATTCATAGAAATGCTATAATTTACTCACAAATGATTTAATTATAAAAAACAGTAATTATTTTAAGCGAAATTGCTGAGGCTCTCTCCATACATAATATAATCAATTCCTTTGGTATGGTATTATAGTATAGCCTGTGTCCCAGAGGTCGTGGGTTCGAATCCTGCCTGTCGTGGACTCCCCATGTAGTAAATGGTGACTGATGCAAGTTAAATCCGTCGAGTCTCAAAGTCCTCCATGTTCCCTTAACAAATAACCTCTGGAGGTACTGATCCAGGAGTTTCTTGTCTTCTGGATCAGTTCAAAATGGCAAGGCTACGGAGATGAGCATTAGTAGTCGTAAGCCCAGCATTGGATCAGCTGTTCAACTACGGTTATAATATTAAAATAAAAAT